GTCATATCTCCTAGATCCACAAATGTAGTTTTCAAAAGAATTGGTTTTGCTATCCAGAAAGGGCTAGCGGTGCAGCTTGTTGCCCGTTTGCCTTTAATCGATATGTATTGAACTATACAATTGATCAATTAAATTTAATGTGTACCAGGAACCAGACATTATAGTACTTCTTCCTCTTTGCCTTAGAGATGAACCCATTATCTCTTATTTAAAAAATATCTAAATCAAAAACTTTATAGTTTGCAAAATAATAGATCTTGCTCCTAATACAAATATTTTTTCCTGTAATATATATTAACTAAACAATAAAAAAATGGTGGTGGATGTGTTGCTTCATCTTTTCCTTTAATGAATTTCAAGTTTATATCTTAAATAATGACTGTTTGTGATGAGAGCATTACACTTTAGTATTAACTTATATAGTCACAATTTAATGAAAGAATTTTGAGATTTTTGTTATCCTCATTGTGGTTAACAATTTATGTGTCTACTATACATCTGTTCGTCTCATATGCATATATCAATCTCCAACAATATTATATCATGAATAGAAATAGCATCTTCCTATTACGCGTATATATTTTCTCCATAATAGATCATCATCATTTGATTAATCCATCGTTCAAGAGTACTAACACATCAAGTGTTGATTATATTGTAAGATAGTTACTTTAAACTACAAGGACAATTCGTGTAATTACTCAAAATAATAATAATATTAATAAATTCAATTTGTTAAGTTTTTTTTTCTTTTTGACAAAACTGTAAATTTGGTCCTTGTGGATATCAAAAAACTATGGATATGGTCCAAAAAGTTTCCGACTTGCATAGAAGGTCAAAAATCAAGAACTTTCTGTGGTTTTGATCCCAAAATTAAGAAATTCTTGTGGTTTTGGTCCATATAATACTTGAAAGGACCACTTTTCCGTTTTATTTTCTTTTCTATAATTTTTATATCTTGCTAAATGCCTTTTCAATTTAAAATTTAATTAAAAAAAACTTGGGGCCATCCGACCCACCCCCACCCCAAAGTGTACCTACCCCTTATCTTCGTTCATCTATTGACCACCCTGTTCAAACCTCTTAAATGTAATTCATAATGTTGATTGTATCTCCTTCCTTATCCCTCTTCACCAATGACCACATCTTCTCCATCCCCCTTCCTCCATCTTCATGATCGACCAACATCTTTTTCCTCCTCCCTCTCCACCAGCCACCTGCATCATCAGATTACCCATTATGACCTAACGATTTCACAATTAGTATGTGTTAAATTGGCGAGATCAAGTAATGCTTTAATCATGGTCGACCATCAAGTGAAAATCAGATCAGTCATGGCTGACTAGCAAGATCAAAATATGTTCAACCATGGTTTCCACCATCTCCATCTGTAACATGTTATTTGTATACGAAATTTAAAACTCGATTGGAGCAAGTAGATACGTAATAATTCACAATTAATCCCCCAATATCATTTGCAGCAGTTTTTAGATCGGAATCATCGTTCAATTTAGAGAGAGAAACCGTGTGAAAAAAGTGAAAACTCTTGATCATACAGGTGTATAGTATATAGAGAGTCATGGAGGAGACAAACGGAGGGTCAGCAACAACACCACCATAACAACCACGACGAGTTCCACTAATGATTTCACTTCCCCCAAAAAATTCGTTTGAAACCCTATTCATCGGTGGACCTGGACTAGGGTTCAGCTTTAAACCGATGATCCTTATCTCAAATTTCTTCTCCAGTCATAATTAATCATCATTGTTTTTTTACAACATCCATGGATCAAGATTTGAAGGTGTATGCGTTTTTTATCATCGATTTATGGGTTTTACTTTATTGAGTTTTTCACCTAGGTTTTAAAGGTTTCTTTTCTTAAATCCTCAATAAACAAAGCGATTTCACCCTTTAGATTCACAAAGTGTATGTATGATGTATGTATGCTTTTGAGTTGTAGGTCCATTATGGCTGGTTGTTCTAAATTTTAATGTACATATCCATATATGAAGTGTGTGTGGTTTTATTACAGAGGAAGAATATGAATATTTGATGACGAAGATGATTGATCAGAGAGAAAGAGAGAAGGGAGGGGGTTACCGGTGGGGTGTGGTGGGATTTTCTTTTTTCTTTTCTTTATAATTAATGAAATACTAAAATCAATTAAAAATGTAAAAAACTAGTAAAGATAAAATGGTCCTTTCAAATTATCGGGCACCAATTTCACGGAATATTTTTAGATTTTGAGATTCCATGCAATTTGAAAATTTTGGATCTTATCTACAGTTTTTTGAATACCAAATTGCATCAAATTTGTAGTTTTGTCTTTTTTTTCAACGACAAATCTAACTGGATCCTAAACTATTTATTAATTTATCTATATTTTAGACGAGACTTAAACTATCGAGCTAAAAGAAAAATGACACCTTTTAATTTAATTTGTTTTTTTTTAAACGTTAAACTATCGTACTCTTAATCTAATCCTAAATACCACATATGTCTTATACTAAGACTTGAACCATAACCTTTTATTTGAAAAAAATCACTCATTGCCGTTAGGCCAAATACCCTTGGTTTTAATTTAATTTGTTAACTCACTAATTAAAATTGTGAGTGGAATCACTAATAAGAGTTAAATATTAGCCAATTATATCCTTCCACATTATCTTATGTCTAAGAATGGAAGTCCAAGAGTCACCGTCAAAACTGATTTTTCACCATCCGATCAACCATTCATCAAACCGTTCTCAAAACCCATGGATTGTGTTATTTTTATGTTTTCTTTTTAAAAAGAAAAAAACGTAAAATGACCAAATGACCCCCCACCATTCTCTTAAAGCTTGTTCGCTTGCACAAAAAATGAGAATTGTTTCAAGCGTCTCTCTTTCTCTCTCTCATGGAAAGCGGTGGCCATTTTGGTTTTTACGGTGGTGATCAAGGTGGTGGCTTACCGAATTACCAAATGTTTCCTCTACATTCTCCTTCAATCTATACCCCCATTCCTCAATTGCCACCCCCACATAGTTTTGTTTTGGGTCAAAGTTATCAAAATTCTGTCAATTACAATGACACACTTTTCCCTTCAACTGCATTTGATCACATTTCTTCTTCTAGTGGAGGGATCGGTCACTTGATCAACAAAGAAGCAGCTGCAGGAGTTTCAATTGCACCATCGTTTCCTATGGATCAAAGCGCAGGTGTTAATAGCATGCTTTCTGACACTAATCGGGTGCAACTGAGCAACTATCGCATGGATAATCCATACACAGACTTCTACAAAGAAGTAATCAGTCCTCCTAACCAGATCTCAAATGGTGGTGTTAACACCCGCTCTAGGAAATTATATCACAGGGAACCATGGAGAAAGGAAGAGGACAGGTGAAACCAACGTTCTTTAATTCTTCATTATATATGATGATCGGTTTATTCATGTATGAATTATTGTTTTTCCTTTTTGTGGTTTTATGAAGAAAACTGCATGAACTGGTTAATAGATACGGGGTGGGAGATTGGTCTGGCATCTCAGACAGCATCGAAGGTAGAGCTGGGAAACAATGCCGTGAGAGATGGCGAAATTATCTACGTCCTGATATTAAGGTCGATCTTTTAATTACTTGTTAACTATTTAATTAAGCCCCTAAGTAATTACTTCAATTTCTTCCAGCTATTTGAGTTCTTCATATCAACAATGTGTTTCGATCTATCTAAAATCGATGACATTAATTTCCGAAATGTTTCTAAATCCTGTTAAATATGCTTCTATATATCTATATATTAATTATAATAATATTTTTTCCTTTTTTTAATTGTACACATTATTTTCTTAAAAAAGCTACGGATTGTTGAATTTTTTGTTTTGGAATTATAAAATAGATTTGTTAAAATCGCACCCTGATGAATTCATTTCCTTGTACTGAATTTCACCCAGATTGATTATTTATGGTTATAGATATGAATTATCATATATAATGGTTATGAATTATTTGTTAATTATATCTGAATTATCCAAAACTTATAATTAGAAAATTCGAACAGGGTTTTATTTTTCTTGCAGGTGTTTCTGTGGTGACCCCGTACTTATATTTTTCTGTGTAACTTTTTTATTTTTCGCTTCTTAAGATTTATTAAATTAACATATTAATTATTAACACAACATGATTTTTTTGTTGACACCTTGGGTGTTGATTTTCATGTGTTTTTAGAAACGTTTTCAAACGAAAGATCATAATTTGTTTCAAAAGTGTTGCAAACTTTCAAGTAGTCGCACAAATTTATTCTCTCTCTTTTTTTTTTCCCTTTTGCATTGTTCCTCTACATTTTCAAGATTTAATTTAGATTGCATAGAAAATGTCATGTGTTTCCTTGGTTTGTGCTTACAGACAGATGAATGGAGTGAAGATGAAGAGATAATTTTTGTTGAAACTCATAAGAAAATTGGTAATAAGTGGGCAGAAATTGCAAAACATCTTCCTGGGAGGACAGAAAATTCAATAAAGAATCACTGGAACTCAACTAGAAGGAAGAAAACTTGTAATAATTACAGGAGCAAGAAAAAAGAATCTGGAAATGGAAAACGGAAATCTACAGTTTTAATCGACTATATTAGAAGCATCGATTCCACCTCTACCAGCAACAACACTACAAACCCCACCACTTGCACCACCGTTGTTTCATCACATGAACCACCAAATCCATACTTAAGCGACTCTCCATCTATTGACCTCACTACACCTACTGATGAGGAGATAACTTTCCTCCAAAGCCTTTTTGGAAATAGCACCACTTTTGCACAATCTGAAACCACCATCTTCAATGAGTTATTGACTCAACATCTACAGCCAGAATCACACCCAAATATGACCAGTCCCCTTTTAGGGTTTAATGGAGATTCTGAATATGGGTGTTTATCTCCGTTGTTTCCTGTTAATGAAAGCTCTAATATTTACCAGAACAACAACTCTCAAACTGATATCCAAGTTTCTCTTGATGATTACCTCTTATTACTCGGTGAAACTACTGTATTCTCCGACTATAATGACCCTGTCTATGGCTATGGAGACATGGACATGGACGTAGAATTCAATGCTCAAGGTGGTGGTTTCTTTAGCCACTAAATTTGCAGTGTCAAGCTTAATGGTTCTTTGTGGATGAGTCATTTTTCGTGGTCATAGAGTACTTTTCCCAAATTTCTACTTTAGATCCCTTCCTTTTCCCCCTTCTTGCGTAAGAATAATATAGAAGTAATTGTTAGTTTGGTATATATTGTCTTAGATGTTGTTAAGATCGAGGATAAATTGTGTTGCTTAAGTGTGAGGGGAAGCTTGTTATGGTCTAGCAACTATCTTGTGCCTTGTAAATATATATAATGTGTGAACTCCTTAGTTTGTGGTTTAAAGAGTCTTAAATTAGTAAGTTTCTGCTGATTTATGGTTTACAATCATTTTCTTTTGAAAGTATGTTAAGTAGTTGCATGACTGCTCTTCTTTTTTTTTTTAATAAACCATTCTAATTAAAACATATAGCTGCATGACAATTTATTACATTTTTATTTGTAATATCTTATAAGACTTTGTTCCATCTGTGTATTCCTTTCATTCCCGGCCGGGTTTGGTATTTGTTTCAAGGGAAACAGAAAGTACCATGCGACAGTGGTTCATATGTGAATAAATAATGGGTTAACACTTGAGATGAGTAAGATTAATGACTACCCTTCCATCTGCACATATATTGGTAATCTAGCTATGCTTGTAACTTGCCAATTAAAAGCTCATACACTTATTGAATTCCATTCTTCACTGTGAATCTTGAACAGTTTGGCAAAATATGGTAATAGTCAAAAAATTGTATTAAAGATTGGATGTGAAATGATGAATTAATATTCAAGAAATCATTCTGCATAGAATTAATAAATATAAGCTTGCAATTCAAAAAATATAATGAATTTTCATGTTCATTACATATATACTTGGAAGATTAAAGAATTTATGTAAGTATGTATGTATCTACACGGGTGTGTAGATATGTCGTAATCTCGACCGTTTTTGCAATGTTGCATTCGTAAGATGAAGGGTAAAGCATCATATTAAGCCTACAACACTAAAAAAAATAATGAATTTTCGCATCCAAATTTCTTCAACTTTAATCAAACGTCACGCACGAACTAAGTAATCCTAAAATTACTCTCAAGGTTAAAAACCTGTATTCGACTAAGATCATTAATTTCCATAATGTTGAAGTGTGCATCTTGAGAATCTTCAAAAGCAGTTCTTATATGTAGCAGGGAGAACCGTATGTTGTAACAATTTCATTTGGTTATACATGTGAAACAACCTTATGAAAGAGTTCCCTAGGAACAATACAAGATAAGGGAGACAAGACTTGCTAAAAAGAATCATCTTTCCATGAGATGGTGAACTAGCTTGCTTCATCAAGATGCATGTTGTTTACTTCTGTTGTGTTCAAATCAATAAAATTGGATATATATTCAGGAGCTAATCTTTCACAGGAATGATTACAAACCTATTGGTATATATGCATTGATATGGATTTGGATGTACCAAACCAAAAATAAAATTTAAAAAAAAATCAAGTTTGAAAGAAGGTATCTCATTTATGTTGAAGCAAATTTGCAATCTCTTAAATAGAAAGATTCATATAGGAAATCTCAACTCCAAAAAAAATCATAAAAAAAATAATAATAAATTAAAAAAATTAAACGTTAATATGTATTGTAGAGATTATTGAAAATAATTATGAATCATTATGTAGTTTTTATTCTATATTGTGATGAGTGCCATATCATTTTAGGTTAATTATCTACAGTTCATCTTATAAGTTAAATTGTGTATATATTTAAATATTCGTATATGAATTAATCACGGGTTAACACTTAAGAAGAGCAAGATTAATAACTACCCTTCCATCCTCATATTGTTAACCTATATTGAGGAAATCATTTTTCATGGAACTAAATAAATCCAATCTTGCACTAGTTCACAAAATATAATGAATTTTCATGTCTAAATTTCTTTACATATTTGGAAGATTAATATATATATATAT